GAATTCCAGCAATAGTCCTGCGTAACTGTGCGCCTGAGTTGTCTCCTGTTCTCACACGACTGTATTGCCTCTCACTAGAGACTGACATAGTTCTCAGATCGTGGAAACTTGCAAATGTGGAAGCTTGCACACGTACAACCTGTGCCGATAAAAGGAAGCACAGCTGACCCTGTCAACTATAGACCCATGTCAGTTACTTCCATTCTATGCAAGACTAGGTATGGAACTTGTACTCAACAACCATCTCCTGTCGCGCCTTGATTGCCAAAATAGATTCCGGCGGGGGCGATGTACTGGGGATCTTGTTATGCCTGCAACATATGGAGCGAGGCTATAGAAAAGCAAGGTGAAGCACTTGCAGTATCTTTGGACATTATATTATTACAATTGGATCTCGGATTTCTTGAGGAAACGTTCGATTGGAGTGGTAGAACTACTACAACTACTTAGAACTACTCTTCCGAACATCGGGCGATTGATGCCAGAGTACCTCAGGGTTCCGTACTGTCTGCAACTCTCTTTCTGCTGCATATCAATGATATGTTAGTTCTAGATGCCTTTGCGTATGCTGACGACAGCACGGTTGTAGGTAGGTACTTGATCAACGCAGGGGTCAGTGGAGAGGACATCCAGTCTTGTCGAGACTCCATGGTTAGTCGTTTCGATTTGACACTTAAGGTCTCCGATTAGGGCGATGCCAATCTTGCCAAAATGCTATCAAAACACAGGCGTGTCTATTCTCCATAAAACAGAGTTTCCTTGACCTGACTTCGACTTTTCGTGATGTATACCGATAGCCGATTGTCTCTAGCTTCTTAGGATGAACCTGTCCTCCAATTTTAACTTTGGCAGATACATAGACATCCATGGCCAAAAATGCATCCAGGAAGATTGGCATCGTTTCCAGAGTGAGGCGTTACTTCGCACCGGGACAGTTGCTTCAACTGTACCAAGCACGAGCCCGTTCGTGTTTAGAGTACTGCTTCCACCTATGGGATGGCTCTGCTACATACTAACTGGTCACTTTGGATTCAATCGACAAGCGTGCTAAGAGGCTTACTGGTAACACGAAATTAGTAGATGCGAAGCTGCAGAGCCTTGAACACCGCCGTAAATTTGCCTGCTTATCGATATTCTACAGGATATATCACGGAGAGTATGCGATGGAATTACACGATTTAATTCCGCCTTCCCCTTCACCGGGGGACTAGACGTAGGCTTGGGTTCCACCCCTATGTTGTGCATATGCCAAAGATTCGCATGAAGCGTTACGCTTCCACATTTATATGGGCAAACGGCTATGGAGTGGAAATCCATGCCTGCAGACTTATTCCCTGATTGCTATAACTTGGGCCTTTTCAAGGCGAGATTGAATAGGCAATATTTAGGTGTGCATGCTCCATCGTCGACCTCATCGTCACTGTCCACCAGGTGAGATGAAGGTCAAATGCGCACTTACATTTTGTATGAAAAAGTGTCGTTATTACGCATGATTATAAATTTTCAGTGTCGGTAAAAATGTTTATAATAGAAATAGAAAATTTATAATTTAAATGAACTTTGATTTGTTTTCCAACACTATTGATTTGTAGCCAACAACAGACTTATTATGACAAAAAAAACTACTTACTTTGTAATTTTGGCGGTAAGATACAATTTTGGTGAACACAGATAAATCACCAAAATCACCAAAATTGTGTCACCAAAATTGGAAAATTAGCAAAAAGTTATTTTAAAAAACACACTTTAAGTTAAGGCAACATTAGTTATAGCATATCATAGGTACCCAAAATCAACATTCAAAATGCATACAGCATTATTTGAGACTTTATTTGTTTCCTCGGTAAAATGGTCACAAAAATTGTTCAGTTTTGGCCCCTATGTCACCTAGTATTAGTACTTACCTTCTTGGCGGGAAAAGCAACACGATCTCTGCACAATCGATCGCACCGCGTATTAGCGCGACTCTGGAAGGGGCGGGAGGTAGTGATCAGAAAGTTCTCCTAAGTTTACAGTATTTGCTAGTGAGCATTTAAAATTGTTCACCAAAATTAGGCTCTTCCCGCGAACGATTGTTCTTAGTACGATATTACTTTATATCAGACAGTTTAATTAATCAATTATTTAATTACCGACAGTAATATTCACTGAGAATACGGGTGTACCAGTATTTTTTCAAAATATAGTTCAATTTTTTTTCAATCATGAAAACAAGTTTCAGACCCAGGTTGTGGACGCGTCACCAAAGTTAGAAATCAGTACTAAAAAGAATTATAAATATACTATAACGTCGACGTAGGAATTTTTCTTTAGTGGCTCCAGGTGAAGATTTGATTACACTTGACTACAAAAAATATTACATTCTATTTTGGCAACATAGACTACAACTTTCGACCACGCGGCGCAAAAATCACATTTGGGAAAATCATTGAGATAACACGTTGTTCTGGTAAACGGGCGAATGGTAACATTCGTTATTGATGTACTTGTTGATACGACGTCAATACGTACATCAACACGCTTCGTACGACATCAAAGTACCCATAACCATCTTGCCAACATCTAATCTAATTATTATTTACGAAATATACAAGTATATAGTGCTAAATTCTGTATCGTTACACGTGATTGAAGCAATATATCATGTCCTAATTTTAATAAAAATTGTTTTGATAACAGTGTCAACGTAAACGACCTAGGGTAAAGTTATAAATAATTCATGCGAAATATTTTACAAACACCGTTGACACTTGGCGGTCATGTCAAGGTTGACAAATCTGCACTGCACATTATCTTTCAAGTAATAGACATTTTACATTTTAATATTAGTGCTTTCCCTCGCAATAAGTAGTATGGTGTATTATGGCGAAAACAATAAATCTATAATTGCCTAAAAAGCGTGTGGTTTTACATAACTTCTTTAGCACCACCTACCTGACTTGTACGCATGTATTTTTAGCACTTTTTATTCCAATTAGTTAGTTCACGTTAACCGGCATGTCTTCACTTGCAAAGTTTTCTTTTGGATTTGGTTCTTGGTGTCGTTATTCTGCTCTGAATATTAAGATCTTCTATTTGCTAAACTAATATAAGTACTTAATGCAACGGGGTTCCAACTGTTATTATTCGTGGTCTGTAACTCGGTAATAATAGGGGTTAAAGTATGAAATTGCCGATTTGTACTGAAAATC